AGGAGATGACGAAATTGAATCCGTACTATTGAAAAAATTTGGAGAGACTCTATCGAAGGGTGCCTTAATTTGGTATCATAACTTACCCCCTAATTCTATTGATTCGTTTGCTATGCTTGCATATTGTTTTGTAAAGGCACACGCCGGAGACCTCAAAATTGCAATGAGGAAATCAGACCTTTTTAAGGTAAGGCAGAAAGATAACGAGATGCTCATAGAATTCGTGTCTCGGTTCCAAACGGAGAGGATGGATTTGCCCCCGGTCTCCGATGACTGGGGTGTTCAAGCTTTCGCTCAAGGTCTCAATACTCGGAGTTCTATAGCTTCGCAGCAGTTGAAGCAAAGTTTAATCGAGTATTCGGCTGTCACTTGGGCCGACGTACACAACCGGTATCAGTCGAAAATTAGGGTCGAGGATGATCAACTGGGGACTCCTTCGGGGTCCGTTGATCGAGAGCCGAGGTTGAGTAGAGATCGATATCAACCGTACAATGGAGATCGTAGGAGCATCGGATCTGAGCGAAGCTTCGCACGAAATGATCGAGGTCAAAATTCACGGGGACTCGATGCCGAGGAAGATCACATCGAATATCCAAAAACCGAATAAAGGTACGGCCCCATCTTTTCTATTTTTTAGACTAACGCTTGCAGGTTATCGGTGAGGATTGGCAGGAAGCTATGGGTCTTAAAGCATGCGTTGCACTATTTTTTTCCTTAGACCGGGTTTTATCCCAAATGGGTTTTTCCGGCAAGGTTTTTAACGAGGCAACCATTGATCGTGCTAACTTAGAGCAAGTCAATATTATCCGAAGTTCCCTACAATAAGCATCGAGTATCGGGGGGCATTACCCTCTAATGACTACTTTGTGGCAAGGAGATTACTTCATGACGGCGAGGCCTCGAAAGGAAAATGTTGTAAGGGTCAAATGGTCAGATGAACCGCACCCATATAGGTTACTCGAGCCCCAAACATCAAACATGCGCTCATGTATAATCATCCATTGAGAGAAGTATGTTTCCTTGATATCTCATGCCTTTAGAGAAATTTCATATTTTATACTCTTGATCTATTATGTAAACAGGCTTAAGGGCCGACCACAATGGAATTTAGAACAACCGACCCCATGCTCGAGGACTGCCGTCCCAAAAGCAAACGGAATCAAACTACTAACATTTCGAGACCATAAGACCTTAAAGGCAATCCTCGACTTTACGGGCCACGTCCACCCCACCCGGGGACTGACATTTCGGGCAAGCTCGAAATGAAATGGAAGATAAGCCCAAGGGCAAGTTCAGAACTAAAAGAGGCTACGGCCAGATTAACGCGGATCAGAGACACCCAAAATTCGTAACAGATACGAAAGCCCAAGGTCTATCTTAACCTAAACGGTAGCATATCTCGAACACTCGAGGACTTCCTCCAAGCTATCTAAACAATAAGACCTCAAGAGGCACCCCCGATATACAGGCCAAGGCCATCACATTCGAGGATTAACATTTCGAACAAGTTCGAAATGTTATCGGGAAACAAGTCCAAAAGACATACCCGAAGCCTGCGGCCATATTAAAGACTATGGTCATATAAAAATGCTATGGCCAAAATAATGCGGCTCGGAGACGTATGACTTTCGCCATAAATTAAAGGTCTCCAAATACTTCAAAAAACCGGTTAAACTCGGCTACCCTCGGCAAAAGCAAAAAGGGCTTCGATAAAATCAGCCCTCGAATAATTTAAAGGCTTCGATAATTTCAGCCTTCGTAAAAACCTCAAGATGTATTCGATTACCATTACACAAACAAGTTACTAATAAGGTTCCGATACGTCGAACCCTCGAAAAACCCAACGGGTACAAAAAAACACATGCTAAGGCATACAAAAATTTTCACTAAGTCTTTTAGCCGAAAAGAGGGAAAAATTATAGCCACTTTAGAGGCTGAATCGACCCGACTTAAAGAGCCTAAGGGCCGATATATAAGAGCCTAAGGGCCAACCAAAAGAGCCTAAGGGCCAATATAAAAAAGCCTAGGGGTCGATCTAAAAGAGCCTAAGGGCCAATGTAAAAAAGCCTAAGGGCTAACTTTATTTCGAGTTCAAGCAAATACTCACTCGACTACTAAGCCCAAGGGCTACCCGAGTTTGAGAAAATTCTTACTCGGGGACTATCTATAAAGCCTAAGGGCTAACTTTATTTCGAGTTCGAGCATAGACTCACTCGACTACTAAGCCCAAGGGCTACCCGAGTTCGAGTAAATTCTCACTCGGGGACTATCTATAAAGCCTAAGGGCTAACTTTATTTCAAGTTCGAGCAAACGCTCACTCGACTACTAAGCCCAAGGGCGACCCGAGTTCGAGTAAATTCTCACTCGGGGACTATCTATAAAAGCCTAAGGGCTAACTTTACTTCGAGTTTGAGCAAATCCTCACTCGACTATAAAGCCTAAGGGCTATCTTTCATTTCAAGTCCGAAGCGTATACCCACTCAACCATCAAGACCAAGGGCTACCTTACCTCATCGACTGTTTAGTCTAAGAGCTACTCAAACTCAAGTTCAAACGATCATTCGGGGTCCATTGATCAGAAACGGTCGAGGGCTGTACTTATTTTTCGGCCATTACCATCTCAAGTCTGTGAATATTCAAAGGGAATTTTATGCTAAGACACTCTAACCCGCACAAAGGAGTAACAAATTCCGGAGCCATGGAAGGATAAAAGTTTTGTATAAACCTATTTACAATGGCTATAGGTCACGATCAAGAATGCCTCATAAGGGCCGATCAGCCTCAAAAGCGAAGAATCACGAAGAACACGAAACGTGAGCAGCACGATCTTTATCGGCAGAAGCGTCTTCACCCTCAGAATCTTCCCCACCGCCGGACTCGCTAGAGTTGTCGGAGTCGCCCTCGGAAAGGGCCAGCTTCCAAACTTTTGTTTCCTCAGTCGCTTACGCCACTGATAATGTCGTAACAAATAGGGGTAAGGATCAAGGACTCAATTAGTTTCTTATCGTCCTACTCTAAGAAATGCGGGGACTATCTGTATACGGTCGAAATTGTACGCCTCCGATCTATGGTCTCGAGGGGTCATTTTGAGCCCGAGTTCGGGCAAGGTCAAGTTCGAGCTCGAGGGACCAGATCCGAGCTCGAGGACAGAGTGCAATGCCCGAAGACTGAAGCACGACGTACACCGAGGTCGAGTATGCTCGATCCCGAAATTGTACCGTTGAGGATTTGTAACAGAATGTGCTAGATTCCTGCCACGTCCCCAAGATCGTGACGCAAATCCCGGAATATGATTGTACGATTCCGTACTAGGAGGTTAGACACCTGTATCAGGAATATTCCCTACTGCAAATAGAAATATTCCATAATTAGGATTCTCCTATTATATAAAGGGGACCCCAATCATTTGTAACATCATCTGATCACCGAGAAGATAATATACTCTCAACTTTTGACGACTATTCATCAGCATTGTCCTTTAGCTCTACTATTCTTACTTTACTTATCTTATTTTATTGCTATTAGCCTGTCTCGAGGTCACCGTCTCGAGGTCGCTACTGCCGAGTTACGTTGGTTTGATTGACTAATCTCTTTTATATTTACTTCTTACTTCTTGATTATTAATTGGTATAGAACTAAATTACATAACTTTAAAACCACAAATCAAATTTAATTGTTACTCGTATTTTCGAGGTAAACACCTACACTTTTTTTCTTACTAACCAAAGTCAGCACCTTTATTTCCATCCCATTAGATCAGAGCGCCTTATATACCAGAAATGAGCATGGGTGTATATATTGAATTTATGCACACACACTCAATTCACTTTCAAAACTCCGTCCACTTGGAAAGAAGAGATCAAGAGACCAAGTAGGCAAAGCTGTAAGCCAAGAACACAACTTCTTTCTCAACAGAATTTCCTATATCTAGCCAAAAAATCAGCAACCTCTTTTATCCAATCACACACCCCCCCCCCCCCCCCCTAAAAAAAAAAAAAACACGAAATTAATTATATTACTGCAATTAAATCTGCACGTACGGTATAAAGTGTTAATCAGTTTTAAAGTCTAGATCTTAATCATATCCCTCATTATTATGTAATCAGTTTCTTCTTGAATATTCACTGTCATCAAACTAAGCTTCGAGGGGACTCTGCCAACTGTAGGTTTCATCATAATGCTTGTAATATAGTTAACTCTTCCTTACCAATTTGTAAAGCTATAACTAGAGGCTGCAATCATAAGTTCATGACAAGGCTCAAGGATTTTTTTGGGTGATAAAGATAGGCTTTGATAAATGGATAGATATATCATAATGGTATAATGATATGATGACCAGGGATGGCAAACGGGCGTGTCAGGCCGGATATGAGCGGGTCGAAAACGGGTAATTCAAAAAAACAGATAAATTATTCGACCCGATCCGTATTTGAGACGGATAAAAAACTGGTTATCCGGCGGATAATATGGATATCGATATTATCCATGGCTTCTTGAATATGATCACTTATGGGAGAATTCATAGTCTCACAAACTTGAGGAACCCCCAATTTGAGTCTTTACAAATGCAAAAGTTAAATATATTAGTTATCCATTTGGTTAACTATTTTCTAAGTGGATAATATGATTCTTATCCATATTCGACTCGTTTTTAAAAAGTTCATTATCCAACTCATTTTTTAATGGATAATATGGGTGGATAACTGTGTTCTTTTAACCATTTTGCCACCTCTAATGATGAGTAACGGTATTAAGGATCTAGATATGCATGGCTTTTCCTTTTTAATTGCACTATAAAGGCTAAATTGTTTTCCCTTTTTTTTTTAAATTTATAAATTTATATAATGCTACTCTCTCTCTTTCATGCATCCAACAGTTTGACTGAGTAAAGTTTAAGATATAAATTTGACTTACATAATATATTAGTACAATGGATGAGAATTCAAATACTAGTCGAAAAGAGAGTAAACAACACATAAAAGTTAAAGCGGAAATGGAATTAATAAATTTAAATTTTTTAAAAATTGTATAAAAATAAATTGGAGCGTCCACATTGAAGGTACTAATTACACAAGCACTTAATACCCTCTCATTCCTATCCTCTTCCCGTCAACTATAGGGACGCTGGACTGGATTAGCTAATTGTAGAGGAAAATGGGGTTGCATAGAAAATGGATAGTTGAATGGTATTGAAGATAAAGAACTAATGTTAGTCATAATTAATGGATCTATTTTATAACCAAAAGCTTCCATCGCTTTAATTTGTGACCTCAAAAACTTGAGATAATTTGCAGCCTCGTCAAGCATAGATGCAGTGTCCATTTTGCTTCCTCCTGGTACCATCTTCTGCAATATTTTTATTTTTTCGCTTATCTTTTCCCTCCTTTGTCTTGCCGCAACTGTCTGTGGATCTGTTGATATTCTTACGTTCTTCCTCTTGGGCTTTTCCGCTTCTACTTCCGTACCAAAGCTCATTGGCCTGAATGCCGCTGCGCAATAAATCATTTCCTTCATTTGCGTAATTGCTTCTGAATCTGGCTCATCGTCTGCCGAAGATGCTGACGAACTAGATTGCTGGAAATTGATGTTTGCTGAACTGGGAAGCTTATTTTCTGATCTGGGTTTCTTGGATTTGGGTTGAATTTCCGAAATGAGCTGGAAACCAGAGTCTCTGGATGAGGAATCTGATGTGACATAATATAATCGATTAAGTAATTAATAAACAGTGTGTTCCATCTAACAAAAGTTTCTAAATGAGATAGTTAAGACACTTCAATATGACATCAAGAGTGTATAAGTTTAACACACGAAAAATAATTAAGCCCATACATGAAGTGGCATGTTCTGAGTACGTAATTCCTCCGTTCCATATTAAGTTGCAGGGTTCAGAGTACAAAGCCAAACTACTTAATGTGGGTACAACAATATAAGATTCACATATTTGAGAATTACATAAAAAATTTACAAGTCATCATAGTTAATAACTCAAAATATTTAAGAAAATCGTGGTCTCCCCCCCAAATAGTAATAGTGGGACAGAGGATTTAATAAATGAAGGAATTAAAAGTGTGGTGTAAGTAGATTAAGTCATATTTAGTATTCTCACCTGGTTGGAGCAGAGCGCGATTGTATCTTCTCTTGGTCATGTGACGCTTTGCTTCCGAAGATCTTATTGGATTGTTGTGTTGATCCGTCTCATTAACAGGGCACTCAATATTATTGCTGTCATTGGCATCGATGGGTTTCGAGTTGAAGGCATCGATCGCAGATTCTCCCGCTGAAACTGCAATATTGTCATTGTTGTTATTCCACGAGCTTTTGGAATCATCAGAGAAAATCATGGAAATTCCATCATCTTCGACTGATGTGTCCGTGTAATTGCTTGTATTGTTAGCAGAGAGCAAGCAATCAAGGGACCTGCTCTTTGTGAGTTGGCCATTATTAGAACCAAGATCATCAGCCACTAGGCCACAAGCTGCCAATTGGTCATTACCGAAGTAAAGCATATTACTTAGTGGAGAAAAAGAAGAAGGACCCATTTTAGTACAATCCCTGCTTGAACCTGCTCCTGATTTAGCAGCCACAGAATCCGCAGCCAATCTTGTGGCAGCTTCTTGGCGCTGGGGGATGTTCCAACTAGAAAGGACGTGTATTGGATCAAATGCAGCTCCAAATTCCTGAAGAATCATGGCTAACGGCGCTTTTAAATAGCCAATATCATGACATTGCTGCTGAATTGGATTGATCAAAGAATCAGCTTTGCTACTGACCGGGGTAAAAAGGTATGAATTAGACATCATTAAGCTGTCCTTGATCATCTGCTGTTGCTGATTTTTCCATGAAGAAGACGCGCTTCTGATGACCTGCGTCACGTCCCAATCCAGAGTATCCATTGATATACCTTTAGCAGTTTATACCTGAGTGAAAAATTTTCCAACTTGATAAGCTTTTGCTCACATTAAATATTTCTGTTTTTCACTGCTAAAGTACAAAGAAACTTACCAATTAAGTTAGCTGACAGAATGTGTAGGCCTACAAAACAGAAGAACTTTGAGAAGGAGCTCAGCGGTTGTTGCTCTGTAGCTACAATTTAAGCTTCTGCACGAAGTTGAAGTGGCTCTAACAACCATTTAGATTCATATTATCTGCGATAATATACAAAAATAGAAATCGCTCGCGTCAGTTTTAGCTGCAAAAATTTGTCTACTTTTATCACATCTCGAAAGAGACGCCATCAGAATCTCAAAACTGTTCAGAAGCTTGTACAAAAGAAAGACTAGCAGAGGGAAAATGAAGCAGCGTAGATTATATTACATTTACCTTGTAACAGATAATTGCAAGTTGTTGGGAAAGGAGTTTGTTTTAAGTGCAATACTCGTTTGCAATATGTTCATTGGAAGACGTGCTTATATAGAAACTACGCAAGGAAGTAAAATAATACATAGTAGTATTAAATAAATAAAGAAAATTATATATATATATATATATATATATATTCAAGCAGTTGACGGAAGAAGTATTGTTTTTTTAGGAAAAGATAGGCTTTTGTCAGTTTGGTGGGGCTAAGAGGGTAATTTTGCAGGTGGGGAGCATGAGATTCCAGTGATGCATTTTTGAATCTTAAAAGAGCAGTCAGTGTGGTACACTAAGCTCCTGTTATGTGTGGGGTTTGGGAAAGGGTCGGTCCACAAGGTTTTACCTTGCAATTTTACAAAAGACTATTTTCACGGCTCGAACACGTGACCTCGTGATCACACAATACTTTATTTATTTTACACATTTGAATGTTGTTTTACTTATCAATGAAGTATAGTGCGCATATTTTTGGAAATTGGGAACTCTGACGACCTTCTTTTATGCCTGCTAATTAAGTTGATATTGCTTCTGCTGCTCCATGCGTACTGAATCAGAAACCACAGTCCACAGTGACTTTTATGCAACATCAGGATTAACCCCCT